AATAATAAGGAATACTTTTATGGTAGGCTAACTTTAGGCAACTTTTTTTATTCCCCCTGGAAACGTGCTTAAAACCTGTTCCAGTGTAGTTAGAAATCAGAACAAGGGAGTAGAACTGTGTGACAGATATATTAATAAGGCCACTGTGATGCATACTAGATGTTTTTATCCCTATCTGTAACATCCGAAACGTTTGAGAGATGCAAAGTTTTACAGCTTTATTCTTTGCTTCTTCCCCTGACCCACTGAAGTTTTATGGCAGAATTTGTGGCAGTTTTTCCTTTTTGTGATAGTTAAGATATTGATAAATCAGTGTATTGTTTAGAATATGAAAATGTGGTCATGTGCAGTTACGGTGCAGAGGGAGAAACCTCAAAGACAATTCCTCAAATGGCTGTGGCCTTGGAGTCTTCCTCTCTGATTTCAAGTGCTCTTAATTTTGTACTATAACGTGCATTGGCCGTGCTATAACATATTAATATGCGTTTGAAGTTCTGCCTTGGATGCGAATAATTTGAGAACGTATCAGCATTCAGCTGATACGGGGTCAGATTATAGGCCTGTCTAGTTGTGTTTTGCCTTTGACAGCAGTTATTGAAATATGTCTAAGAAAAATTTTAGAATACAGTAACTTGTAATACTTCTGTGCCATAGTTCTGCAGTTTCTTTCAAGGATTTCCAGAGCCAGAAGTGATTATCTTGATGGATTTTTTTTTTTCTTCTATTAGTTCTCCAGTTGTTAATGGTTATGTCAGGCTCACTGTTTGCAACATTCTATGACAGTGTGTATCCAGGTTTATCTGGATATGAGCTGTTGAAAGATTGTCTGTTTCAAAAGAGAAATTAGAGATCTGTTAGTAAAATCAATTGCCCAAATAAGCTTGAACTTGAATATGGAGGTGGCTTGAAATTCTTGTAAGTTAAAAACAGTTTAACCTTTTACTGCAATAACTGGATGGATAGCCCTTCGTAAAAGAAGGTTAGAAATAAGAACTGGAATGAGATGTAGTGAAAGACTCAGTTAAAGCTATATGTCTTAGGACAGAATGATTATGGATAAATTTTGATTTAACTAGTTTGAATTTTAGTAAGATTTTCTGTTGAGCCGTAAGGGCAGTTAGTGCAGAAAAGAACTGAAAAAAAAGTGAAAATGCATACATTGTAAGATGTGTGTAGTCCTGGCTGTGAGGAGAGTACTGGAGAGGTGATATCAGAGTGGATGATACTGCTGATTTCTCCAGAATTGTTCATGACACTTGGTGACTGAAGAGTGACCTTAGCATAAAAAAAGGCAATGCATGCTGATAAAATTTGCCAATGTTTCAAAATTTAAAGACACCCATTATACTTGAGAGGCCATTACTGAAGAACTACACAACCTTGAGGACTTGAATTACTGAATAAAATGGCACAAAGTGCAAGGTGTCGTAAATATGAATTAAGACAAAGGACCTTTGCAAGGGGCTGGGAGCTCATTAGTTGGAAGTGCGGAGGATTAGGAAGAGGTGAGTGGATTTAGTTGGTCACAGCTGAGTTCGATTTGGTCTGATGGCTCAAACAAATAGGATCTCAGAATGTGTTGGACTATCTTTATTCTGTAGAAGTGAACAGCAGTGATGTTAGGTACTGAGGAGAGTTAACTTCAAGTAGAGTATGTTTTTCTGGCTGATGAAGGTCAAAAGTCATGAATCCAGGGTGGAGCCAAGTACAGAGAGGTTACTCAAAGTATTGAGCGAATGGTGGCTCTGCTTATGGTGGGAAGTGAAGGACTAGAAGCCAGAGACTGAGACAGGATGGTTACAATTGGTGTTCTGAAGTGTGAAACACTATTCAAAACAAAACCCAAACTTATTCAAGTGGCTATGGAAATTGAAAGTTCTATAATATTTAAATCTACATGTTCCAGAATTCGTTTTGCCACAATAAGTATTCTGGGACACACTTTGATGGAAGTGTTTTAGTGGTAGAGGTCTAGTTCCTTATCAGTCAAGGTGATTAGCTTTAGCCTTTTGCAGCAGATTTTGCTCTTCTGCGGTTTCTAGCAGTATTGGTGTGCTCAGTTACATGAAGGCTCTTTTATTGGTTCTCTTTTTATTTAAATATTAGTAGGAAAAAGCTATATGCTTAGTGAAAGCTTGCAAAGAGTAGAGTAAGCAAATCTCTGCTGGCAGGATCTGTGGAAGACATTTTCTCCAGTCACATAGAGAGAATATTTCTAAAGCAGTGTCTTTATTTTGGCTCTGTTGGAAGTGTTTACAAAAGCAAACAAAAATATATTTGGCAAGAATCCTTTCCAGATGTGATCTTGAAAAAATGAATGGGAATTTGGCCACTCATGTGCTTTCAAATTCAAGTAGTTCATTACGTTTCTGGAGGCCTGCTCTCTCCAGTTTTGAAATGGAGCAGGTCATTAAAGAGAGACCAACTGGTAGTTTTCCAAAAACACAGGTTGCCAGCAGTCTAAAGCTCTCACTTCAAACACTTGGTTTCCACAGAAGAAAATTCAGACCTTCTTACAGGGCAAAAGAGATTTTTTTTTGTTTAATATTTTTTTTTCTTTAAAAGAGCTACTACCTCCTGTTGCTCAGAACAAAATTCAGGAATGGCAACCTTCAAATTTTAAGACTAAAAAATGAATTTACAGAAGTTCTGATTTGGGAAGGAAAAGTTTTGTGGGTTTTTTTTAATTTATTTTTTTCCTCTCAATAGTAATTTCACAAGGAACATGGGGAATAAACCATTATTAATAATAATTTTAATTGTATCAATTCCAGCTATTAGTGAACAACTAAAATTTCAAAACCATTGCAAAATTTTGATTGTAAGAAATCAAATGGGAATAACTCTTCCCTACTTCTTGAGTCTTTCAGGAGCAGTCATCTTCCCTGCTTTTCTGGAATTATTAACATACAATGACTGAGAAAAATACTCTTTTGCAGTTGTCTTATAAACCTGTCAACCTAATATCAGAATCCCAAGAGCTTGACACTGTAAAAATGAAGCTATGAGAGTTCTGCACATCTCTGAAGATTGTGGTGTCGTGAAGTAATGGGCTTTAATATATGATTTTAACAGATGTTTGGGGGATTGAGGGGGGATGGGGAAAGACGATAGGGGATGAATACACACGGCCAACATCTCAAAAAGCTGCTGGCAGGTAGCCGTTGTATTTTCCTCTGTAGGAACAACTGCAGTACACTGTGACTGTGCCGGCTTTTTAGTCGCTGGAGGTGAAACAGGATTTTTTAGGCAGCTGCAGCTGGGGTTGGTTTGTGGCTTACCCAGATGCCTTTGTAGTGATGTAATGCTTAGATTCCTGTGGCTAGTGAATGAAACTAAAAGGCTTGTGCGGATGGATTAGGCGTGCACAGCTCTCTACGGCGCGTAATCTCAAATTTTAACACAGTATGTGTGAAAGCACAGACTGATAATTGTCTTCCACAAGGGAAAATATCTGATGCAAGTGTTAAGGGTGATTTTATTAATGAAAAATTCCTGGAGAAGACTGTTTCTGATTTGGTTTCTAGTTTTGGGAACTCTTATAAGATATTAGCGTATTATGTATGTACTATTTAATAGTGTTTTATAGTATGTAATTCTCATTACATTTGAAATTGAAGGAGTAACAAGCTTCTTTTTTTAGTGCAAGATACTTGGATCTCTTGGCCTGTTCTTTTAATGGCAAAGGGGTGATAAAACGCCATGTTCTTATGTTTGTTTCCTGAAACTGACTTTGGAAGCTGTATTTAATTATTAAAGGAAAAATGTTTGCTCCGTGCTTGTCAGTGATAACTTAGGCATTTTCATTCCCCTCTTTATGCTTCTACAAAGTTTGGCAAAGTATAAACCATGTGGTTTTATGCCTATTTAGGCATTACTGATTTTTTTGTGTGTGTGAGTGTTTTTCCATATCAACAATGTATTTTCACTTAGTATGAACCTCATGCTCTTAAGAACAATAGCAAGTCTTTTGATGTATTTGTTTTATTTCTTAAGGGAAGCATTCTAAGTAATCCCATCCTATTTTTCTTCATTTCATGACTATTACCTCTACCTATGACTTTTCCAGTCTAATTATAATTTATATACATTTTTGTTAGCTCTGAAGGCTCCTTGCTGTTAGATTAAGAAGGTACACAATGAAATTTACCATCTGCACTGAAAGGAAGAAGTCTAACTGCAGCAGTAGCTAGCTGAATACTTTCCATATTTGTTTTCTTCCTCCAGTCATAGAGTGCTCTGCCTAGATCTTACATTTGCATGTTTAGGTCAGAGCTCATAGTTTTCATGTGACTGTTCAGCTCAAGATTAAAAAACAGGTTGTTTTTTAGGAGTGAATGAATTTACTCAACTGAGAGAAGAAGAAAAAGAAAAATAAATCTGGTTCCAGAAAACCGTGGGGGTCAGGGATAAGGAGGAAGCATGGCAGTTCATGCATGTAATCCTTAGTAGGAGAATATTGAAGAGGATTGCTTACCACGTCAAACAAAAGGAAATGGTAGTCTGTGCAGTGAAGAGTGTGAGCAAAATCCGTTGAAGGACGAGATACGTGAAAAATTCAAGAGAGTAGGAGCCTAGGTTCTGGGAAGGAACCAGTTTTAAGAGAAAAGGGTAGACAAAAGGTTTGTTTTTATTGGTAGTGGTATTTGGTCTATTCTGGTATTAATAGAAGCCAAATCTTCATAAGGATCTTTTATTCTCGACGCCTGGCTGCAGTTTACTGGCAAAGAAAAAGGAATTGAGTTAGCTGCACTTTCTGATGCCAAATGAGATAAAACCCTGTCACAAGGGTGGTGTTAAATTTGTACTTTATATGCAGGGAGGTATAAATGTTGCTGTGTATGCATATAAGGGATGTAGAAAGAACACGTCAATTATTGAGTTAGAGAGAATAGCTGGACAAATAGCAACATGTAGAATTTGTAGTGTTTGCCTTTTAAAATATCACATTTTGTTCTATTGTTACAAATACTGAGTAACTTTTCTCTTCTTTTTAACAGACTCTGAAGGCAGATCCAGAAGAACTGTTTACAAAACTGGAGAAAATTGGTAAGGGCTCTTTTGGTGAAGTTTTTAAAGGAATTGACAATCGGACTCAGAAAGTGGTTGCTATAAAAATTATTGATCTAGAAGAAGCAGAAGATGAAATAGAAGACATCCAGCAAGAAATCACAGTGCTGAGTCAGTGTGACAGTCCATACGTAACTAAATATTATGGATCCTATTTAAAGGTAAGATACTCACAGATGATGGTCATTTGATTTCATAAGTAATTCTTTTTCAAGTTGTCCAGTCTTGCCTGTTTTCGTTGGCAAGGTTTCAATCAAACCTCAGTTGAAGAAAATGATATTTTTGTCCTTTCAATTCTAAAGAAAGAATGAGTTACTGTATTTTGTGAAGTATGTGGCAGAACTTAATAGAAAACAATGCACATGCCTTGCTATGTCAGTACAGATAGAAATTAATTTAAATAACATCAATTTGTTAAGTTTGTAAGTGATATGTTTAGATTCTCTTAATATTTGGAGAATGTAACTCTGTTTTTTAAATTTGGAAAATGTAACCTAGGTCTACATTTGAATTGTCAGAACATTAAAAACAGTGTAGTATCAGCTGTTTTGTGAAGCTTGAAAGTTTTTGTCAAGCTGTTTTTCGGAGGAGACTAAACCTAGCTTTGGTCTGAGCAGTTTAAAAATTAAAATCCAAAAGTTAATTTATTTACACATTAGCAAACAGCACATTAGCTGTAAATGAAGCTAATGGAAGGGATTTCCATTAACTGCCTTCTGATCCCTCCCTCTGCCGTATTGATTAGTTTCAGGGTTCAGTTTTAAGTGTGCCAGATAGAGGGTTTTGTTGTTGTTGTTGGTTGTGTTGATTTTTTTTTTTAAATTTAATGGATATGGTGTTTTATTACCTCTAGAAGGTAGTGAAAATATCTGAAAGCTTGTGGTAGGTACTACCTTATTTCTTGGTCAGACTTTGTCCCCACTGGATGGCTCTTCCTTCTGTGACAGTGAGATGGCAATCCAGATAAGAGATTACTCTTTTGACAGAGTTGGAAGTTACAAGTAGGCAGAAAATCCTGTGAAATTGATTTTCAGTCTGCTTTTGCTTTTGTGGAAGCATTTTATTTATCAGCAAAGACAAGGTTCTGAAAGGGGGGACTCTGTTTTATCTCTGGATTTCTGACATTGCCAGTTAATTTCCAAGTTAAAAAGGATTTTTTTCTGAATCCAGGAGGTGCGTTACTGAAGGGACAGATGGTTTTTCCTTTCTTCATTGTACTCTGAATCAGTCTGCTTCACAAAGTAAAGCACTGAGGGCTTTGTGAATGCTTTCAGACCTGATAACCTCTCACCAGTACTGGACTTAGAAGTTACGTATAGTTTAGATCTTGGAACAGGAAGCACATATTTTGGCACAGTAAATAGGATACATTTTTCATCATGGCTTTTATTACTACTTTTATAATTTCTCAGTGTAGGTTTGGTAGTTACCTGAAGTATGGCAAAAAGGCAAAAGTGGTATTTCTCTCCTGGACTGTCTCTCTGCTTGAAATGGGCTCATTTTAGACAAGTAACAGTAAGGTCTTAAAGGATAAGGGAAATGAAATACAAGAAAAATAGTTATAAGTTTGGGAATGCCACTCAGTAGTTTTTAAAATGTATAATAGCAGTGTGGCTGAAAGAGAATCCAGTGTCCAAATCTGCGCTGAGTGAACCTTTACATTTTTGTAAAGGTAGTATGGCAACTGCTGCTTTCCTGAATTGAAGGAGAGAGGAGACTGTAGTGCTGGTAGCCTGAATGGGTTTGACTGGATGTGTCATTAGTGATGTTTGTGCTCATTGTTGTGAAGAGGATCTTGTGAAAATACTTGACCTTCCACAACACTTGTCAAGTGCAGTAGCCTGTGAATTTACTAACTTGTGTCAATTTTCTAAGATACTGCACTAACAGCAGCTTTTGGAGGAAAGTACAGCTCTTTCTAGAGCTAGTAGGATGTACAGCTAGTCGTTTTTATTCATTATTGCAGTTATTTGTGAATTTATATTGTTTTGCAAGACACTTGGTACTATAGAACCTTTGGTCTTCAAGGTGAAAATCTCATTTATATATACTATTGAAAATTAATACGTGATTGGTATTAGGTGAGGCTGAAGTGACAACCTGCAAAGGAAACATTTTGCAGTTTTATTAGCTCTCTGAAGTAAGTGTCATCATGATTGTGTGTGTATATATGTATCTGTGTGTATACGCACACACATACTCTATTAAAAAGGACTATGTTAATTTTTGAATGAATTGATTAATATTGGCTAAGAATCTAGGTTTGTTTGCTGCAGATCTTTTTTGTATTTGCAAGCCAGGACTGCCTTGTGTAGTTCTAAGACTTTGACCATCTTTTACCTCTGACAATGTGATAATCCATCAGCAAGAATGTTCAACACATTAATTTTCCACGTCTTGAGTGATTAGGAGATAATTATTTCTTCCATGACGGGACAATTTAGCTCTAATTACAGAAAGATACTAATGTTTTCTTACACAATGAAATTTTTTGAAGTGAGCAAGTGGGAAAATGATAGGATCTTAGGTTATATTGCCAGCCACTGCAGCGATCGTTATTCTCTAAAGCCTGTGCAGTGTGATGTATGCTGGCCATGTATCTGTTGGATCTTGGCTAGAAAGAGGTACTGTTTATAGAGAACTCTTAAATTGATTTTCTATAAATTATTGCTGGCAGACAAATAGCAATTCCAATAACAATTTCAATCGGTCTAATTTTTTCCTTCTAGCTCCAGATCAGATCAGTCTTTGTTTCCCTAGGCTTCCTGCATATCCTCTTGTGAGCTGAAGAGGTATCTTATTACGTAATAACTTTTTTCCTAAGTACTCCCATGTCAGTTGTTAAGTAGGAGTAAGTATCTTTTATGAGAACTTTTTGGCATTTATTTTGTATGTAGCAAGTTTCAAGGTACTGGAAAGAAAAAATTCTATCCCATTTGGGACAGTGCAGACCTGATGATTACTATTTCATGTCCCTTTCTAGAACAAGTTTATGCAGTTGCAGAATACCTGTTCTGACATCCTTTAAAATATTTGACAGGTTTTAAGAGGAATTCTGTATTTTCAGCAAAGGTGGTTGATGGGTATTGCCATGAAAAATTTTATATTTTTGAAGATTCTCTAATTAGCCAGAATGTTTGGGTGTTGGATTGAGTTTTTTTAAATTTTAATTTTTTAAAATCATCTGAATCATCTGTCTTTGAGAAATCCTTGTATTGTTCTTCATTTACTGTTATTCCACACCTGCTTCAGTTAAGCTACATTATACATGCCAGTGTGTTAAGGGACCTGTTGCTTGAAATTTTAGAAGGCTTATATAATACTGCTGTACTTGCCTGAGGCCTCTTACTGTCTTCAGATGATGTTCATGAGAATTACTTGTCAAGCTTTTGGTGTCTTCTGCATGACATACGTGGCAGTGCAACTTGAAATGAGTGTTATCATTTCATGAGTTAATGGCAGATAGTTTGTCCTAGAAATTTGCATTTAAAAAATAATTAGTTTCTAAAGTAGGGAGATATACTCAAATACCTTGTTAAATTTTCATATTCTAGTTTTTTTTAATATCATAACTTCATCTTTTCAGAAATATGTTGGCTTTATAGCATCTTGTTTCATATCAGAGACAAGCCATATTTTGATGTGAAGCAGAGGTATTACTGTTTTAACACAGTGAGTCTTAAATACAAAGCGTCTTACTGCTTGCATAGACCAAGTCTTCCATTCCCTCTAGACTTTGTTCTTTACATCTGTTGTTGGAGATTAGTATATAATTGCTGTCGTCAGAGTTTATTCAAATAGAGCAACGAGCACGGGTGAAGTGGGTACTAGTTTAGGTTGTCATCTGAATAGAAATTAAATTGCAGAACATCTTTTTGTCAGAAACCCAAAGGTCTTTATATAAAACAGAAATGCAAATGCGTTAAAGCTACATCTTAAAAGAGAATGTCTTCATGTTCCCATTCTATTGGGACCAAGGGCTTTTGTCTACTGTAGGAGATAGTAAGTAAATGGAATGTTGCTTTTGAAGCATATCAAAGGGTTTCTATGGGTGCGTACATCTAGAGGGACTGCTGTTCCTTATCTGCCATGATGTGTTAAAAAAGTGTGTTAATGAAGTTGGCTTAACAAAATAGGTAGTGACTCCCATTGTCTCTGTGCTCTGGGAACCCTATCTACTCTTGCTGTCTTCCAAGTGAAAGGTTCATCTGTTCCATCTATGATCTGATTAAATACCCCATGGACAGTAAATTTATAATTCTTTTTAGATCCTTATAAAATTAATTCATGAAACTTCTCTGGGTTTCTTTAGATTTTAGATAACAGCATCTGCTGCTTCCTTCGTAATGGAATAGAGTGTCTTTGTGATTCTTGTTAGATTTATTTCTTTTTCTTTTAAAGTCATGTAAAGTTGTTTGCTGTCTCTCTGAATTTTGCCATACTGTAACTCTTTAAAAGTACTGCTATGCTATTTATTCTAATTTTTTTTTCTGTCTAGGAGCTTGTCAGCTCTGCTTTTTGCAGCTTACTCTGCTTTAACAATTTTTAAGGAGCTTAGTTAGACTGGGTTCTGAAGTTGTTTCTCTTGTCTTTTTTAGGCCAAGTAGTTTGGAATCTGTTTTGTTTCCAAGATTGAGGTGCCTCTCTGATAAAGTTATTAACAAAACTGAAGAAACATGAATTATTGCTTTATTACAACTTCATAACTTTTTCATATTTCTGTGATCTTGGATTATTATTTGGAAACATATAAGAGGAAATTAATTTGTCTTTATAGAGAAGAATAGTTTCTTGGCTTTTTTGCATATACGTCACTCTCGAAGCTGAGGTTAATATATGTATATGGATAAAAGCTGAGATCAGTATGTTATATATGTATATATACATTAAAAAATCTTTAAATTCCCTGTCCTAGACTGCTATACATATGAATATAATGATAGAGCAAACGATCACCAAGTAGTTTCAAAATCCAATACAACTAGCAAGTATTGAGCTAGTCTTGTGTTATGTACTCTAAAAAATACTACTGTCTCTAAGGTCATGTTTTTTCATCCTTCAGATGTATTTCTCTAGCACACTTCGTAGCTGTTGAAATACTTTCTTTTGAACTTCCTAACCCAATGCGAATCAGACTGTTTATTTTTCCCCCTCTCCTTTT